CTGGTTCCATGGTTGGACTGTTTACTCTTATCTCTCTTAGGATGTTACAGTCGTTTTGAAACTTTTGTTGGTTTATTTCTGATATTATCTCTTTTCTCTGAGTTTCTTCTGAGTTCCAGGTGCTTAGCTTTCATATTGGAAGCTTTCCTTTCTTGTTTGATACCCTTAGCTTTCTGTTATATTTTAGAGTTAGGCAATATAAAATGGATGGCAAATTCTATGTCTGTAAACAGAAATTGGTGACTTGTTGGTTTTAATGTAGAGTAAGTGATAAGAGTGTTGAGATATTTTATACAGAGGGAATCCCCAAAAGTATCTATATGCTTTTTCTATAGGACTGTTTTAGTTTTTCCAGAGTATTCTCATTTAATTTCCTCTCTGGATTCTCAACATTTAGTATGAATCTCTTTGTTTTCAGCACAGCATCTTACTAGTGTCTCCCCAAATCTCAGGTGTACATTCTTTAGAGAATAAAACTTCCAGTCTCCTTCACAGGTAGGAATGAGGTACTTGCCTGACTGTTGTCTGTAATCACTAAGTGGAAGATAAGGTTCAGCTTCTAATTATTTCTTATTTGAGGGACCTTCAAAAAGTTCACGGAAAAAATGGAATGAAAAGATAGTTAAACTTTTCCACGAATAATTTGAAGCCCATCCTACAGATTTAGCCAATTCTGTTTTCATGATAAGCTTTCTATTGTACCGAGTAAGTGAACTCTTAATCCCTCTTTTCGTTCTAAGGACCAATTTTGCTTCCTCCTAACAATGTTTCTGTCTGTAGGAATTTAGGTTTCATCCTCCTCCATTTGTCTCTTTCATATACATTGTTGTTGCAGGATTTAGTTGTTCCTTCTCTATTGAAGTTTATTTCTCATGTTCCTTCTTGTTTTGTGGTGGAAATGTCTTTATTGTGCCATTTTAGAACTAACAGTGCTAGATAATTATATTCAATAATAATAAAATACTTTTGCCATAAGAAAAATTTTGTTTAAAACATTTAATTAAAACTATTGAAACTAACTATATAAAATTCTGGGTGTCCTAAACCAAATCCATAAAGAAAAAAGGTATAGTAAATATGAAAAGTGCGGACAAACATTTAAAAAAGCAAAAACAAAAAACCACAAACACAGCTAGACTTCATTGACAATGGGCATAGATAGTTCACCTGAAAGAAAACTCATCTTATAAAGAAGCATAGATAAATCTGAGAAATTTCAATTAATTATTATGAGCTGCCATTCTTAATCATTGTTGTGTGCTGTTTTCTGTTGGTTCTGACTCATAGTAACCTTGTATAGGGTTTCCGAGAGCAGCTCACTGTAAGTTTGAGAAAGCCATGTTAAAAGGTATCCTCAGATATTATTTATTCTAGATGAACTGGTATGTAAGTATGGCCTTTTTGGAGAGCAATATAAATACAGGACCAGCCACTGGTGCTAGGCTCTAGGGATATAAAAATCAATCAGTTTAAGAGTTTATAGTTGAATGGGGAAGATAGATTAAAAATTTACAGGTACACAAATGCCAAGGCAAAGTGATCACAGACTGCAAGATGGATTTCTCTTGATAAAAATTTGGTCTTCTTATTGTACTGTAAATTATAGCTAAGCTAATCTTTTTCTCTCCCCAGAGTCTTTCTTCAGTTCATGTGGTAGTTTACATAAACTAAGTGAAGAGCCATTGATTCCTCCTCCACTTCCTCCTCGAAAAAAGTTTGACCACGATTCTTCAAATTCCAAGGTAGTCAATAGGACTTAGGTTTGCCACAGCTTTTTCCAAGTTGTACTTATTCAAAACAGCACTCTTCTTTATAAAGACATTGCCAATTATAACTTAGCTAACCTTTATGATCTTTAAACATTTGGGTTGTTATATTTGAAAAGTACTTTCAGTAATTATTTAAACCTCTTGATACCTTTTCTAAGAAAGAGTCTGGATGGATTTCACTGATATTTTGAAGCACTCAGTACTCCAAAAAGTTTTAGTGTTCTAATGGTACTTGTCAAATTTTAGGTTGCATCAGAATTACATATAAGGCTTGTTAAAGTGAGGTTGTTGGACTTTGTAAGACTGGGGTAAGACCTGAGAATTTGAATTTCTAACAAGTTCCCTAGGATGTGTGTCCTTTGCTCACACTTTGAACTACTGTTCTATGCCTCACTGGGAAAAGTAGAAGTAGATGCCTAGTAAACAAAAAGCTGGACATTAAACCCTCTTATCTTCTTCTTCTTTTGTGTTTATAAAGCTTTGTATTGCTTGTACTCATTCATATAATTATATTTAAATTTATTAAATATATACATAAAGCCCCAAGTCTAAGATAGGACATTTCATATATGAAAATACTAAGCTGGACCCTAAGGTAAAATGGGAGGAATTTACTCATAAATCAGAAAATAAACCGTATTAGTCTATTTTGAGCCTCTAAATTTAGCTTTATATATAATTATTTTTTAATCTTGATAAAACTTTTTCTTACATATTTCTCAGGAGAACAGAGGTGTAGTTTAATTACATTTTTATTTTTGAGGGAAATATGAAATCTGATGATGATCCTCCTGCTATTCCACCGAGACAGCCGCCTCCTCCAAAGGTCAAACCAAGAATTCCTGCTCCTACAAGTGCATTTGATGGGCCTCTGCATAGTCCACCTCCACCACCGCCAAGAGATCCTCTTCCTGATACCCCTCCACCGGTTCCCCTGCGGCCTCCAGAACACTTCATAAACTGTCCATTTAATCTTCAGCCACCTCCAATGGGACATCTTCACAGAGATCCAGATTGGTTCAGAGACACTATTAGTACGTGTCCAAATTCGCCAAACACTCCTCCTAGCACACCCTCTCCAAGGATACCACGTCGATGTTACGTGCTCAGTTCTAGTCACAATAATCTTGCTCATCCCCCTGCTCCCCCTGTTCCACCCAGGCAGAATTCAAGCCCTCTCCTACCAAAACTGCCACCAAAGACTTACAAAAGGGAGCTTTCGCACCCCCCATTGTACAGACTGCCTTTGTTAGAGAACACAGAAACTTCTCAATGACCTTAGCCATATGTAGTCATTGACACTGGAATGGTATTTGTAAAGTTCTTTTTTTTTTTTTTATTTATTAAAAAAAAGGCATAGTATTTTATTACTTTCTACAAATAATGCTCTTATAAGACTGCTACTGATCAAATAAGCTACTCAAAATTGGTAAAAATCAAAATATGGAAATTCTTCACCATTTTCCTCAGGTGATCAGTATCATTGCCTTGTCTTAGATCCTCAGTGCTGCCATAAGGCCAGTATAAAGAATTTATATTTGCACTGTAGACTCTGCTAAAATATGGTTTAAAGTAACCCATTGATTACACTGAAAGGGGCTAGCACATTTGTGGAATTTTTCAAGTTTGTGTAATCGCAGCCTTTTTTAAGGCAATGAACTTACAGAACTATAGGGGGTGTATAGTATTACTGCTTTTTAAATCTCTTTGACCATCTTCTAGTTTTTCATACATCTAGGAGAATTGTGAGTAACACCTACTGTTCTTAAACTCTTTAATGCCATGTCTTAAATGCCAGTATTTGCTGCTGAAGACAAACATGAAAAGTAGGATGAAAACAATAGAGTTAATTGTAAGTGTTTATTATTTTGTCAAAATGTAAGCAAAGACTACCTAACTCAATTATTGAAAGAAAAAAAGGGCCCATTATATAGCATGTATGTCATTCAGATGTGCCTTTTGTTTTCACAGACTAATGTGTCTTTAGCTAATGAGTTGCCTATTGTTTTGGAAAAGCAAAGTTAATATGCCATGTATGTACAGTTTTGTTTATATTGTATATTTAAAGATAATGCTAATAATTATATAAATTTAAGTGACTTGAGGCTTAGAATACAATCTGCTACTAATTCATAAATTCAGAGGAAAAATTTCTTATGGCATAGGAACCAAATCTGCCTTGCCTTCAAAACCTAGTAACTTTCTTTATAAATCTCATGTTAACTGAAATTTTGAAAAAAATATATTTTTTAGACTGGTAAACCAGAAAATATTTAAGGCTTTATTAAACCTTTTTAATCAGAGAAGTGAGTAAAACTTTTATTTGCCATTTGGACATCTTCATTCTAAAGTAATGAAAGCATGTTTTAATGAAAGTGCCGTAGCAGCATTTGTAAAATAGCTAAAAGCCACGTTGTTTATTTACTGGTCTGTGGCCTTTTACTGTGCTTTGTATCAGAGTTCTTAACAAGATTAATAAATCATCCCAGTCTTAATTTTTAAAAGACTTTTAAAATACGTGTTTTCCTTAGAAGGAACAAAGGGGGGTTGAGGAGCTGGAGAGTTTTGTAGAGGTAACATACACACACATTATTTTCAATATTTTGTGCAAATTAAATTACATACCTCTACAGAATTTAATAAGGAGCTCTGGTAGCGTAGAGGTTATGAATCGGGATGCGACCTTCAAGGCCAGTATAGTTCAAAACTACCAGCCGCTCTGCGGGAGAAAGATGAGGCGTTCAGCTCCCGTAAAGATTTACAGCCTCGGAAACCCTGTACAGGGTCGCTGTGGGTCGGAAACGACTCGACGGCACTTAACAACAACAGAATTTAATGGGTGTACAGTTTACTGGATAATCTTAACTGTAAACGTAAGCTGCAAGCTTCTAGTAAGCCTTCTTATGCATTCATAGGATTTCCATCCGATTTAGATAGGTTCCTGGAAGCTGCCAATAACTGTGTGGAATAAGTCCAACCAGGTAAAAATACTCTTAAATTGATTTTATTTTTTAAAAGAGCAGATCATCACACTATCTTTGTGTGAAAAAATGATTTAAACTACCGGTTCATTAAGCCAAATTTGTGATGTGGCATAGTGGAAGGGAGGCTGGTTGTCTTGGGCTCCGCTACGCCCGGGAACGCGGCCTTCCTGGCTTTGTGCATTCGCGCGCGCGCAGTGGCGCTAACATCCGCCACTAGGGGGCGTGCGGCCGTGCGTGTGCTTGTGACGTCACTGCTCGTGGCGCATCGGGTTGCGGAATAGCAATGGCGGCTAATGCGGACTCGGAAACTGAGGATCCGCTGCGGTGCTTCGTGCGGGCTTTGGAGAAGCGGGATGGCACGATATTGCGACTGCAGCAGTACGGCTCTGGTGGCGTGGGCTGTGTGGTTTGGGACGCTGCCATTGTCCTTTCTAAATACTTAGAAACACCTGGGTTTTCTGGCGACGGCGCCCACGCGTTGAGCCAGCGGTCGGTACTGGAACTGGGCTCTGGCACGGGGGCTGTGGGACTTATGGCCGCTACTCTCGGGTAAGAGTTGGGAGAAGGGTCTCGGGAAATTTTACTGCCTTCCCACCCTTCTGCTATCACTCTCAATCGACGTTACCTTATAGGGCAGATGTTGTAGTCACCGACCTTGAGGAATTGCAAGACTTACTGAAGATGAATATTAATATGAACAAACACCTTGTCACTGGTTCTATTCAAGCCAAGGTACTGAAATGGTTTGTATGGCCTTTCAGTTTGTTTAAAGAAAATGATTTATAGTTTGCTTTAAATTGCGTTTTACTGACAGCATGGTTAATACGAAGCAGACTCTATAGGAAAACATGTCTGACATTTTTAAGGGGGGAAGAAACGGAAGACTTTCCTTCTCCACCAGACTACATACTGATGGCCGACTGCATTTACTACGAGGAGGTAACCAGCCCCTTTCTAAGACTTGCGGTATTTCGCGTGTTCTAAAATACATTTCCCACATTTTACTAGCTTCCTTAGAGTATTGTTGACCACACTTGCGATGCTTATTGAGCCTTTTCCTAAATAATGCAAGTTTCACGGTGAAATCTAAGACAAGGTCTCTGTCCTACTGCCCTGTTTATGAAGACTAAGGAGCCTGGTAGCGTAGTGGAGGATTAGCTTTTTAGGCTGCTAGCCGCAAGGTCAACAGTTTGAATTCACCAATCTCTCGCTGGGAGAAAGATGAGACTTCTTGCTCCCATAAAGATTTATAGCCTTTGAAACCCTAGACTACAGAGTTGCTATGAATAAGAACTGACAGGCACCACCACTATTTAATTACAAAGGGCCTGTAAAGGACTTGGGCAGTAAAGAGAAGACAAGGATCACCTAAGACTACATAGAGACACTCTTGGCTTAATTACAGACCTCTGACATATCTTGAGAAAAGCTAATTGTCCCTTAACTAGTGGAGCCCTGGTGTGGCAAGAATCTTGCCATTTGAAAATGTTATGAAAGTCGTGGTAAGATTTTTTTTTTCTTTGATAAGCTAATTTGATACTTTGAATTTCAAGTTAGATTAAAGTTAAATTTTAAAGATGTACGGCATCACTCCAAAATGCACTCATTTAAATCCTTTCTTGGAAAGGACAATCAGTACGATGATTGATTAATTAAGAGAAGCTGATTAGTAGTCATTATGGAAGTTTACTTAAGTATACTTCATTGGACTGATTCAAAGATAGCTGAATAGTAGCTATCTAAAAGTATATAAATATTCTTTCCACTTCCCCAACCCCTTGTATAGTAGAAAATTGTATAAAGTCATAAACAAGAAATGTATTCTTTTGAACAGTCTTTGGAACCATTGCTGAAAACCCTAAAAGATCTCAGTGGATCTGAGACTTGTATAATATGTTGTTATGAACAACGAACAATGGGAAAAAATCCAGAAATTGAGAAAAAATATTTTGAGGTAAGTACTAGCTCTACCTTTGTTAAATGATTGATTATCCTTCAGGGAGTTGTAGTGACTCTGTATTGTAGTATGTGATGGTCGTTTTGGGTGGGGAAACCATTCTACTTACCCTAGTATAAAGCCAAAAAGAGGATCCTTCACATTCTTCCATACCATTCTACCAACTCCCTGCCTCTCCTGCCCCGTATTTTCTGACATATTTTTCTTTTTTCATTTATCTAGTATTTACAGAACAATGTAAACCAGTAATAATGACACTCTTTTTCATATTTATCTGATAAAAGTTTTCACTTTTTTATTAATACTATTATTAAACATGATACTACCTTTTGGGAATGTGTTAATTATGTATGTGTTACCTTTGGAGAGTAGTAAATCATAGAAACCAGCCTTTGATAGATGTTTTACTTCTGTGTTTGCCTAGCAAAGTGGATTAGCACTGTGGTATCATCACTGAGCTCAAGCATAACAATTGTGAGGATGACACAGGACCGGGCAGTTTTTTGTTCTGTTTTCCATAGAGTCACTAGGAGTCAGAATTGATTCGAAGGCACCTAACAAATGTGTTCCTCTACATTTTTATGAAACCTCTAACGTAGATATCCTCCTATCTGTTTCAATTTTTTTCCACCTGCATTCTATTTTGAAGTAATTAAAGGTTCATGGGAAGTTGCAAAAGTAGGAAGTACAGTCACATGTAGCCTTCACCTAGTGGTGATCTGAGCCCATTTTTCATGGACAAAATTCCATCACATTTTAAGTTACTCTTTAGAATGCATCTCTAGTCAATTGCTATAGAGTCACTTCTGACACATGTCAACCCCATGAGTTTGATAGTAGAACTATGTGCCATAGGGTTTTTGATAGCTGAATTTTCAGAAGTCTTTATTCCGAAGCACCTCTTGGTAGAATGAAACCTCCACAGTCTTTCAGTTAGCATCCAAGCCTGTTAACCATTTGCACCAAGGAGGATGCATCTATTGTTCTTAAGTGTCATTGAATCGGTTCCAGCTCATAGTGACTCTATATAGGGTTTCTGAGGAGTGACTGGTGAGTTTGAACTGCTGACCTTGTGGGTCCAGTGCTTATTCTGTAGTGCTACACCTGTATGCATCTATGTTGTTGTTGTTAAGTGCCTTGGAGTTCGTTGTGACTCATAGCGACCCTGCATAGAGTTTCCGAGGAGAGGCTGGTGAGCTTGAACTGTCGACCTTGTGGTTCAAACTGACCTTGCAGTCCAGCACATTAACCCGTAGCGCCACACCAGGACTCCATATGCATCTATGTTGTTAAGTGCCGTCAAGTCGCTTCCGACCCATTGCGACCCTGAACAGGGTTTCCGAGGCTGTAAATCTTTAAGGGAGCAGAAAGCTTCCTCTTTTTCCTGCGGAGCAGCTGGTAGTTTCAAACTGCTGACTTTGTGGTTTGCAGCCCGATTCATAACCACTACGCTACCAGAGCCTCCAATACATCTATACAACCCAACAATTTCATTAGTTGAAAGGACTATGGCTTAATGAGATCATTATATGACTGCCTCAGATAACATGCTAAGATAAGTTTTTTAAATGTGTTTTTCAATATGAAGGATGTAATTGTGCTTTTGGTGTTTTTAAATATTGAGATAAAGCATACATAAAATGCACATATTCCACGTTTTTCCTGTGTAAACACCCAGCATCAAGATAGCACATTCAGAATCAGCAGACTCCCACTTGCCCCTTTCCAGTCAGTGCTCCCTCCAAGGGTAACCACCATCCTGACTTCTGTCACCATAGATCAGTTTCTATTATGAATTTCAATTATTGTCTTTTAAATTTGTAGCTCCTTCAACTGGACTTTGACTTTGAAAAAATTCCTTTGGAAAAACATGATGAAGAATATCGAAGTGAAGAGATTCATATTTTATACATCAGGAAAAAAAAATTGGTAAATAGATTCCTGAATGTTTATCATCTGAGGTGATTTAATCAGCTAGAAAGTGTACTTAGGTTTAATGTATGGTATATGCATTGGCTTTGAAACGGATAAACAGTTGTTTCACTGGACTTTGGCACTAGCTTTCAGTGTTCAGATCACATAACCTACCTGGCCTTGAGTTTTTCTAAATTACAGCTCTGTCAGAAAGATGCTTTTTGACTGATTTATTTTTTTAATATATATAATTATGGAGCTCTGGTAGCGTAGTGGTTACGAATCGGACTGCGAACCTTAAGGTCAGCGGTTCGAAACTACCAGCCGCTCCGCGGGAGAAAGATGAGGCTTTCTACTCCCGTAAAGATTTACACCCTCGGAAACCCTGTACAGGGTCGCTATGGGTCGGACCCGACTCGATGGCACTCAACAACAACAACAACAACAATTGGGCATTACCTCTGACAAATGACTTTAGGTATTTCTGAGCAGTTTTAAAACGCCAAAGCTGAGTGTTTTGAGTTTTTGAACTATATAAGGAAAGGAGATAGTGGGATTCATAATTCAGACCAACCAGTGGTGCCAGAGATACAAAGATAGTAAGAAAAATGGTTTGTACTATAAGGAATCCAGTTTTAATTGAAGCAGTTGTGCAGTTTTAGAAGTAGACTGTTTTTGATGCATAAAGATTGTGAGTTTCTTCATAAGTCTTTTGTTTTTCTTCCCTTGTTTTCAAAAATTGAGATGTATTTTGTTGTTGAGTGCTATTGAGTAGGTTCCAATTTATAGCGATTGTATATGGGGTTTCCAAGGAGCCACTTGTGAGTTTGAACCACCGACCTTGTGGTTCAAACCAACCTTGTGGTCCAGTGCTTTATCCCACAGCACCATACCAGACCCTTTCAAAGTGTTTAATTCAGTAATTCACAAGAGTTGTGACCATCACCACTAATTTTAGAATGTTTTTATCACCCCCAAAAGAAATCCCATACCTATTAGTGTCACTACCCATCTTCAATTACCAATCTATTTTCTCTCTAGATTTGCCTATTCTGGCCATTTTATATAAATGACATCACAATATGTGCCTCCCGTGTTTAGCTTCTTTAACTCACCATTTTCAGGGTTTATCCTGTGTAGTATGCATCAGCATTACAATGCTCCTATTTATGATTGGATATTCTTCTGTAGAAGTATGGCATACTATCCCCGTGCTCCTCAGCTGATGAACATGGGTTATCTTCACTTTATAAACGGTTCTGTTTGAACATTCATGTAAAAGTTTTTGTGTAAATATATGTTATTAATCCTTTTGCATTATACCTCAGTAGAATTGATGGTAATGTTTTGAGCTACTGCCAAACTGTTTTAAAGCAGTGGCAATACTTCATAGCCTCACCAACACATTGACCAACACTTGTCATTGTCCATCTTTTTTGTTACAGTCATCTTAGACTCTGTGAAAGGAACCCTGGTGGCACAGTTGGGTAAGTGCTCAGCTGCTATCCGATACACGTTAGCAATTCAAACTGACCAGCCTTTTCACACGAGACATGTTGTGACAGTTGGCGTCTATATAGATTTCAACTTTTGAATCCCAACAGAGCAGTTCTACTCTGTCATATACAGTTGCTGTAAGTTGGAATTGACTTGATGGCAATGGATTTTTTTTTTTTTTTTCTGATAGCGGATTTGAAAATACACTTCATTGTGGTTTAGATTTCCTTTTCAGTGGTGCTTGTAGGATAAGCACTGTTCTGCTAACCCACCAGCCACTCCTCAGAGTCAGTTTGAACTTGACGGCAGTTACCAGCAACAAGTAGCTAATTATGTTGAACATTATTTCATGTTATGTTGGAAAAGTACTTTGCTTCTTTTTAAATTGGGTTGTCTCTTTATGGTCGACTTATCGTTTATCTAGCACATGAGATGCCAGTGTTTTTTCCCATGCTCTGTTTTCACTGTCTTCATAGTGCATCTTTTTCATACTAGGCATAATGCCTAATATTGCTGTTAGATGCCCTCAAGTTTGTTCTGACTTGTAGTGACCCTATGTACAGTAGCACAAAACACTGCCCAATAATGTGCTATTCTCACAGTTTTCTGTTTCAGTATTATTAAGAGCCATCAAGTCTATTCTGACTCACAGAAACCCTGTGCAGTGGCTGGTGAGTTTGAACTGCCAACCTATTAGTATCTAGTAAATACTTAATCGGTAATAAGAAATCTCTAAAGTTTTTCTCTTTTTGTTTTAGAAATTTCCATCATGAAGCCTCTAACCAGTTTATCCAAGCTTCATAACAACCTGGATAACTTAAGATGTGAATGAAGCATGTGAATACAGCATGGGAAGATTATGTTCATAGATTTTTCCAGCATGTTCTTAAAGATTCAATACATAGATGGCAACCACCTTGGGCTGCCTACAGTAAGAAAAATAACTGACTACCTGCCTGCCAGAGGGGCCTGAAATCCAACATAGGTTACTTAGCTCAACATAACCATCTGCTTGAAAGAAGCATGGAGTCGTTCACTCCTCAAATAAAGATAGATGTTGAGGTTAGCCTAACGTCTGCCAAAAATAAATTTCACTGCAGGATGATTGACTCTGTATATTTTGAGGAAACTTGAGATACATACCTAAATAGATATATTTATTACTGTTTTATGATATTTTAAATGCAAGCCGGTAAATTTTAGTTTGTGTTCAATTAAAAATTTAAAAAAAGTTTTTATATATAATTAGGCAGTTTGTAATCATATGTCTTCATTTCATTGCTTTTAATATAACTTTAATATTTAAGTATTCTTTTATTTTGAAAAGCTGAGAACATTGTCATGTATACCTATATTAGCCAAAGTATTTATTTTTTATTAGTGTACATGCTATATGGATAGTAAATTATGCTGTGGTAACTGAGAAGAAAATATTACAAATTTGGAGGTTTGGAAGGAGAATGTATTCCCTCCCATTTATTCATATGAAAATGGTGCAGGAATTGAAGATCCAGTTTTAGACTCGTACACTCTTCTTACATGTAAAATTTCCTGGAAAATCTGGCTAAAAACACTGGTATAAATAAGCTAACTTACTTACATGAAACATTGTTGTTGTTGTTGTTGTTAAGTGCCATCTAGTCGGGTCCGACCCATAGCGACCCTGTACAGGGTTTCCGAGGGTGTAAATCTTTACGGGAGTAGAAAGCCTCATCTTTCTCCCGCGGAGCGGCTGGTAGTTTCGAACTGCTGACCTTAAGGTTCGCAGCCCGATTCGTAACCACTACGCTACCAGAGCTCCTTACATGAAACATTAGAAGATTTAAATAACTACAATTGTAGTTCTGTAGGAATTTACCAACTGATTTTGATTATGTGTAGTCGCGGGAGAAAGATGAGGCTTTCTACTCCCGTAAAGATTTACACCCTTGGAAACCCTGTACAGGGTCGCTATGGGTCGGAACCGACTCGACGGCACTTAACAACAACAACAGTCTCTTATGAAAGTCATTATTCATTCACTAAAGAGTAATAGTAACCTGAGGGAATTCTGGTATTTTAAAGTGTTAACACATAAAATGTGCCATTTTATATGTTAAACATTGCTTTTTAAGAGTTGTGACTTTGTGAATGTTCAAAAATAGCTTAAGAAAATGAAAATCTAAAGCAGGTGACTGCTTTCAAGAAGTAGCAGCAGCCCTGTTTAGAGAAATTAAGGCTCCTGGTAACTTCATCTTTCCTCTGCCACCCCCTCTTGCTTCCCTGTCATCCATGTTAATATATGTCTACCTTCTACCCAATGAATAATTTTCCCTCTTTCCCTATTCCCCAACCATCATGGAATATTTCTTTTATCAAGAAAACCTTTTCTTAGCTGTTTACAACAGTGGTCTCATAACATTTGTCCTTTTGTGATTGACACTTTCACTTAGCATAATGTCCCACTGGTTCACCCATGTTCTGAGGTGTTTTGTAGATTTATTGTTGCTCTGCAGTGTTGTGTAGTATTCCATTGTGTGTATGTATCAAAGTTTGTTTTCCCATTCTGTTGATGGGCATTTAGGTTGTGTCCGTCTTTTTGATGTGTCTCTTATAGGCAGCATACTGAAGGATCCTGTTTTCTTATCTAGTCTCCCTGTCTCTTTTTCTGTTTTGTGACTTATGTGGTAGTTTGCATGGGAGAACACTAGCTTTACATTCATCCTATCGTATATCATTTCACTGCCATTATTACAATCCCCTCCATGCATCATCAAACAACCAAAGGGCACACCCCACAAGCCTGTCCTTGGTCGCCAGCACACAGCCCTCCTCCCTCTCTGAGTCTAGAGTCCCCAGCCATTCCATCTCTCCACATCATGTCTCTGCCTCCATCTCTGGCATCCCTGTCTCTCTGGGCAGGGTCCCACACTCCGCCCTTCTCCCTTGATGGTCCCAGGGACCTCCGCTCCTGGACTACAAAGTCAACCACTCCTCTCCTTTTGCTACAAAACGGCTACCTTTACATTTCCAACCCTCACACTCAGTCCTGATAGCACTTACTCACTGTTGTACCACAAGAGTCCTGTCTCCATCTCTGATTTTATCTTCCTCTGTGCCCTCTCTCCCTGTCTTGACTGGTGTATTTAATCCATTTCAATAGGTAGGAATTTGCTTAGCTTTTGTTTTGTGTGTGTGGTGATGCTGGTTTCCTTGTTCCCATAATTTTCTGCAGAGAGTTCATTTTGTTAGTGGGTTTGCTTTTAATTTTCATTTCTGTTGTGTTAACGTTTGCTAAATCTTTCTGATTTTCCTTTCTTATTTTGATGCGAAGGCATATTCATTTTTTTTGAGGTTACCTTGTAATGTTTTTCCCTGTTTAAAACGATCTGTTTTATGTTGAAATCTACTTGACTTCCTTGTCATTTTGAAGTTTTGTATCTACACTATTGCTTATATCCTTGTAGTTGACTTCATTGTGATTTGTTATCTCTGGTTCCCTGTTTTTAAGTCTTGTTTGTTTTGCTTTAAATACTTCTATATCTGGAGTCCTGGTGTGGCACTGCGGGTTAATGCCCTGGACTGCAAGGCTGGTGGTTCAAGCTTACCAGCCACTCCCCTTGGAAACCCTACACACAGGGTCACTATGGGTTGGAACTGACTCGACAGCATTTAACATCAGCAGCATATCTGGATTGAGTGCTGGGTGATATTGCCAAATGTTGATCATTACTGGTGATTGGAATGCAAAGATTGGGAACAAAGAAGAAGGATCAGTAGCTGGAAAATGTGGCCTTGGTGATATGATGCTGGAAATTGCATGATAGAATTTTGTAACACCAATGCTTTGTTCATTTCAAATAACTTCTCTAGACAGCATAAGAGACAGTGTTACACGTGGACCTGACTAGATGTGGAAAGAGACGATAGAAAAGCTCCATATTATCAGCTGAAACAAGGCCAGGTGCAGACCATCAATTGCTCATATGCAAATTCAATCTGAAGCTGAAGAAAATGAAAACAAGTCCATGAGATCCAAATATGACCTTGAATATATCCCACTTGAATTTAGAGATCATCTGAAGAACAGATTTGATACATTAAACACATAAGAGCGAAAGACCAGAAGAGTCATGGGATGGTTGACATAAAGAACATCACACAAGAAGATAGCAAAAAGTCATTAAGAAGGAAAAGGTCAAAATGGTTGTCAGAAGAGACACTGAAACTTGCTCTCCAGTGTAGAGATGCTAAAGCAAATGGAAGAAAGGAGGAGGTCCAATAGCTGAATAGAAAATTTCAAAGGTCAGCTCGGGAAGACAAAGTCAAACATCAACAACAAAATGTGCAAAGATTTGGGAGTCAGAAAACCAAAAGGGAAGAACACGCTCAGCATTTTTCAAGTTGGGGGAACTGAAGAAAAAATTCAAGCCTCGACTTTTGTTACTGAAGAATTCTCTGGGCAAATTATTGAATGATGCAAAAAGCATCAAAAGAAGATGGAATACACAGTCCGTACAAAAAGGAAATGGTTGGTGTTCAACCATTTCAAGAGGTAGCATATAATCAAGAGCCAGTGATACTTCAGGAAGAAGTACAGGTGCATTGAAGGAACTGGTGAAGAACAAGGCACCAGGAATTGATGGAATAAAATTTGAAATCTTTCAAGAAAGTGAGGCGGCACTAGAGGCGCACTCACTCATCTATGCCAAGAAATTTGGAAGACAACTATCTGGCCAAGTGATGAAGAGATTCATATCTCTTTGGAAGTTGTCTTCCAAAGTCAAAGAGAGGTGACCCAACGGAAAGCAGAAATAATTGGACAATCTATTTGATATCCCATGGGAGTAAAGTTTTCTAAAGGTGATACAGAAATGGCTGCAAGCATACATTGACAGAGAACTTCCAGAGGTTCAAGGTGATTCAGAAGAGGCCGTGGAATGAGGAATATCATTGCTGATTTCTGGTGGATCTTGGCTGAAAGCAGAGATAGAAAGATGTTTACATGTGCTTTATTGACTATGCAAAGTATTTCTATTGTGTGGATTATGACAAGCTATGGACAACATTGCGAAGTATGAGTATTCCAGAACATTTGATTGTGCTCATGAGGAATCTGTACATGGACCAAGAGACAGTTGTTTGAACAACTTGGAAACACGGAATTGTTTAAAATTAAGAAAGGTGTGCAACAGGGTTGTATTCTTTCACCATACTTATTCAGCCTGTATGCTGAACAAATAATCCGAGAAGCTGGCAGGCATTAGGATTAGAGGAAGACACATTAACAACCTGCGGTATGCAGATGATGCAACCTTGCTTGCTGAAAAGTGAAGCGGACTTAAAACATTTACTGATGAAGATCAAAGAGCACAGCCTTCGGTATGGATTACATCTCAATGTAAAAACAAAAATCCTCACCACTGGACCAATAAACAACATATCAACGGAGAAAAGATTAAAGTTGTCAAGCACTTCATTCTTGGATCAACTATCAACAGGGAAGCAGCAGTCAAGAAATCAAACGACATATTGCATTAGGCAAATCTGCTGCACAAGACCTTTTTGAAGTGTTGAAGAGCAAAGATGTCAGCTTGAGGACTAAGGTGCACCTAACCCAAGCCATGGTATTTTCAATAACCTCATATGCATGTGAAAGTTGGACAGTGAGTAGGGAAGATCACAGTAGAATTGATGCTTTTGAATCATGGTGTTGGAGGAGAATAATGAAAGTGTCATAGGCTGCCAAAAGAACAAATAGATCTGTTTTGTAAGAAGTGCAGCCAGAGTGCTCCTTGGAGGCCAGGATGGCCAAACTTTGTCTCTCATACTTCGGACATATTGTCAGGAGGTACCAGTCACTGGAGAAGGTTATCATGTTTGATAAGGTGGAGGGTCAGAAAAAAAGAGGAAGACTCCCAGCGTGATGGATTGGCAAAAGTGGCAGCATCAGTG